GGAGTTACAAGTAGTAGTTGTTGCTTTTCACATATAACAGGAAAACACATTACAATGGTACCCCCTGATGGACTATGACTCAGCCTTAAAAAGGAAGGAAATTCTGACACATGCTGCCGTGTGGATGAGCCTTGAGGACAGGATTTTGGGTGGAAGAAGCCAGTCACAAAGAAAGACAAATACCGTGTGATTCCAGTTAGGTGAGGTATCTAGCGTTTGTCTACTGTATGAATTTGACTTTTCGTAGAGACAGAAAGAAGTTGCCAGAGGCTCTGGGCAGGGAGGAAATAGGGAGTCGTTATTTAATGAGTTCAGAGTTTCAGTTTTACAAGATGAAAAAGAAGTTTGGGGATGGATGGTGGTGATGGTTGCACAACACTATGCATGCACTTAACACTGTGGAACTCCGCACTTAACGACAGTTGAGATGGCAAATCCAAGCTTATGTGTTTACCTCAATTTAAAATTTGAGGGGGAAAGGTGCACAAGCGATCACATATGTTGCTGCTTAGGATGAAGCTAAAGTGGTATGTAAGTGTGACATACATATGAGGTGACTGTACAGATGATACACCAGGAGTAGGAACTGGGCTCAGACTGACGGTGCCTCCTCAACCTGACCACCCTCTGCTGGTCCCAGCCCACCGTCCTTCCTTCACCACTGTCCTGCACATTTCTGCTCTACAGGTGGCCTACGCCCCGCGCCCACAGCGGCTGAATCTGGTCCCTTGGGTCTGTGCAGACTTGCCAGTCTGCATCAGGGGTTTGAAATCCTGAATCCTGACATGTATAAAATTCTGTGCTTCACTTCTACCTGAGCACCGTCAGCCTCACCCTTAGTCGTGAGCACCCCTGATTCTTCTCAGCACCCTGTATTAGAGGAGATTTGGGGCCCAAGGGTGGGGGGCAGGCGGGACCCAGAGAAGAGAAGTGGACTCTGCGTTGGGCCTCTTTCTAGTGGAGGCTAAGCAGGCTCTTCTCGCCCGTCACACGTGCCAGCGGACGGTGTGGCCGTGGCTGGGCTCCTGGGGGAGAGGGTGTGTGGGGAAGGACCAGAGAGGGAGCCATGCCCCTCCCTGTGTGTTCAGCCCAGAGCCATTATGCATATTAGACACGTGTGGTGGTGCAGGGGCCCCTGGAGACAGTTCCCAACTCTGACCCCGGCTAGGAGACTGGGTAAGTCCCTTCTAGGGGTGTTCAGACCGTGCTCCGCAAACATCGCGTGGGTGCGATGCACAGGAAGCCTCCAAGTTCAAAGTAGGCTGGGTCCTTGCACTGCTGTTCCCGTGCAAATGTCTCAGGCGCTCAAAATGTCAATAATAGTATAGGGCGGGGCAAAAGGAGGCTTACAGTTGTCCGATGGAAATGAATACAATAATCAATAAACAAGTATATAAGAATAAACTCTGTGTTTCATGCACTCACAACGGTAAACCTACTTTTGCTCCACCCTGTATTGTTAAGTAACAGGCAACATTTATCAAAGGCTTAGGATATGCCAGGCGCCTCTGCACAGGTCTGACACGCATTATTTTACTTAATACTCGCAACACGTGAGGCTTATGGAGATGAAAGGAACATGCTCGAGGTCTGGGCTTTCAGGAAGAGCCCATGGGGAGAAGATGAGGAGGAAAGAGAATTAACTGCCGATATCCATGCTTGACTTAAAGCAGCACTTCTTAAGCTCTAAAGGGCAGACGCCTCACCTGGGAATCTTGTTAAAAAGCAGAGTTTAACTCAGTGGGTGTTGGGGGAGCCTCTATCAGAGAGGGCTGGTGCTCTTGCTGTGAGGACCAGATGCAGTGGGGGGGCCTCAGAGCACCGTATCTTTTCTGCACCTGGGGTGGAATTCACTCACTCACTCGTTCATTTATTCACACAGTCCTTGGTGAAGTGGCCCTGCAGACCCAATCCTGATTCTTCACTTCACTAAAGGGGTGACTTCTCTGAGTCTCAGCTGCCCATCCGTAAAATGGAAATGAAACTCACATTTTATGGCATCTTTGTGAAAACTAAATGCGATAAAGTGGGGCCTACACTAATGTGGACATTCCATACGTGGTCAATGGAGCTTCTTTCATTATTCATTTCTTTTTTATTCATTTCAACCAATATCTCCATATGGTTCCAATACACTTATTTTAAGATGTGTTTATTGAAAACCATGTTTATGAAAACAAAGATGTCCCAGTGTCTCCAGCGGGGACCGAGATGGACCCGAGTCACCATCATGAGTCAGAGGAACTGGCATAGATGGAGAGACACGCCTTCTAATGATTTCTGCAAGAGGTGCAGAGAAATTGGTGGGGAGACAGACACAGTGCTGAGCTGTGGGAGCCACTTGGCAAACGACTCCACCAGAGAGAGTGAGTGAGAAGTGTGTGTGAGGGGAAGAGAGAGAGAGACTAGAACTGGGTAAAATGTCAACAGATCGCAAGCTGTTAATTATCTGGAGAGAACTAAATATTATGTAGGCAATTATCGACAGGCGTCTGAAAGCAACAATAGGAAAACTTGGTCCCCAGCCGAATTCCCTCTCCCCTTGGAGAAGGGCTGGGAGACAGGCATTAGTATTCCCAGCAGGCTTTTTATGCAGAGGGAGAGCGAGGGGGACCGGGCCCCAGGGAGAGGGGACAGGCAGGGGACACTGCTCTCTGCTTTGAAAAAGCGCCTTTACCCACAAGCTCTGGGCCTGGAGTCCACAGCTCCCTCCCCGTCAGCCCTCCCTCCCCCAAGATGTCATCTTTTGAGAGGATTTCATGTGGAAGCATCGCTAAGTAAATTCGCTAAATGCCTATTCATCCCCGTCAGATGGGGACTTGGTGAAGCGGTAAATGTGAAAATGGCCCCAGCTCAGGGCCCTGAAAGGGCTTTCTGGGGTTGCCAAATGGAGCTGCAGCCGCTGACCCTGAGAGGCCTGAGGCTTTGAGAGATGGGGCCCCCCTTCCCCCGGGAGCCCCAGCCCAGCCCCTTCAACCCTCCCACTGAGGCTACTGAGAGGCCCTGTTTATTATTCCTGCTGCTGGGGACCCATTCAGAGGTTAACTTGTCCCCGTATTCATCAGGACGACAATAATGAACTGGCGCAGAGAGTAGCGAGGGGGCCGGTGAATAGAAAATGCTAGGGCGCGTAGATGGTTCGGAGGGAGCTCCCTTTAATTTTGTACAGGCTGCTTCAGTTAAGACCTATCCCAGCACCTTCAGGAGGCCCTCTGCCCACATGCGGCCGTAACTTGGCGTGGGGCACCCGTGGGCTTCACCTTGCCGTGAGCGGGCGGTTTGTCCACACAGGAGACGCACCATCATTGTGCAGACACGTGGGGTGAGCCTTTGTCTGCATCCCTGGGGTTCACCTCTGAGCACCGGCAGGGCTGAGTGGCTGTGTGTGCCGGATTTAGCTCATTGCAGGCGCACGGGGTTTCTCTGGAGTCTGCCTGCTAGGAGGGCTGGCTTTGCATCGGTGTTGATTTCAGTAACGGGACGGGACATCGGCAGTGCTCATTTTCACTGCAGCATCTCTTAACTGCTCTGTGCCCCCTCCGCTGGAATTATGAGTTGGTCAAACATGAGTCATCCAATCACAGAACAGGGGCTTGGAGAGGCACAACTGCAGGGAGATGCAGGGAAATGAAGGAGCGAACGGTGAGGGGTTGTGGCGGCTTGGACCAGACGATGGGAGGCAGAGAGAGTAGCGCAGCTTGTACTTCTTGTACACCTACTGTGTGCCCTTTAGACCCACCCAGGTGAGTCCAGGGGAGGTAAATGGCTTACCTGGAGACACAGAGCCTGGTCAGGAGAGCCTCTGGGATCTGTCTCCAGAGTCTCCTGCGTCTTGAGCCCAGGCATCACCTTCTCAGGTACCCGCCTGCCTCCCAAAGGTCCAGCCTCCAGCCTGTTCCCATAGATGTCCTTCCTTTCCACTGCCCGCACATTTCTCCCAATCTGAAACAATGGTTAACCCTTTTCTTCTGAACAAAAACCCCTGAGCAGAGAAGCCTGATGATGAAGGAGCTGTCACTTCAGCACCGGTTACCTGTTGGGTTTATTCACCGGAAGAGGCGACTACATTTCTGGCAGATGGAGACCGGTGTGACTGCCTTTTAAAATGCTGTCACAGCTGTGTGCACACGCTGATTAGCTGTGACTGCACTGCTAGTGCCGAGATTGATGGTGATAAATTTGGGATAACAATGCTGGGAACGTTGTCATTTGTTTGTATCGTGCTTTCTCTTTTTTAAAGATCTCTCAATCAGTGGCCCAGTGGTTATTGAGAACTTGGTATTCACTCATTCATTCACTCATTCATTCATTTCCCAAAATACATTTGAAAGAGTCAGTTCACACTCGTCTCACTCTGAGTCATTTATTCATCCACAAACATCCTTGTAGCTCCTGCTACATGCCAGTGATGAGCAAGTGCAACTAGTTCTGTCTTGCTGGAACTTTAAATCCTAATGTCAGGAGGTTCAACATCTTCAGATGTTGGTAAGAGGGTGAAGTCAATAAAGTGATGTGATAAAGGCAGAGAGGGGGGCGCGGGTGCTACATTCGGTGGGGTGGCTATGAAACACCTCTCCGATGAGATGACATTTGAAAGGGGACCTGGATAACCACAGGTGGCTATAACGGGAAGATACAGGACAGGATTTGCCACGCACAGCAAGTGCAAAGGCCCTGGGGTTTCTATGTATTTGCATTGAGCTACGTAGTGATGACTTACTATTTGTCAAGCCCAGGGCTGGGCACCGAAGATTCCAAAGTAAGATAGCATGCTTATCCTCAAGGAGCTCGCAGTACAGAGAGCATCAGGAGACACGCAGACAGTGTGTTTCAGTGTGGTGTGGTGAGGCCAGGGATGCCGACTCATGAAGGAATACAGCCTTTTCAGCCGGTGGGTGTGAAAGGAGGAGGGATGCTGTTTTCCATGCAAAGAATGGAGCCAAGACTCCAGACCCCGTTGTCTCTGGAGGATTCTGACTTTCCTCTTTGTTTGTTTACAGGACAAATGACCAACTGGTGGCATTTCTCTCCCGATACCGAGATATGAATTTCTTGAAGTCACACGGCCGGGACAATGCAAGGTAGCATGTCTTCCCCCGTCTTTGTACAAAAATGGAAATGAAAATCTGAGTGATCATTTTGGGGCTTCCTTCTACCCGGTTTGGTGCAGCCAGAAGGAGGTTGAGGGTGGGAGGGAGGCGGCCACGGTGGGATCCAAAGTGGTCCCTCTGATGTCAGTGAGGGGCAGAGATCATAATCAGTGGTTCTCCTCGCGTCATTGCCCTTTACACCTTTCGTCAAGCACTTTTGTGCGTCCAGTGTCCCATTGTGGCAACTTCGAGGTAAACAGGGGAGCCTTGTCAATTCCCACTTTATTGGTGGGAAGACGGAGACGCGTCGCTTGTGATGTCCCCAACCATTTGGTCAGCCAGTCATTCAACAAATATCTGCCTAATGCCACGCGTGTGCCAGGCAGCCTTCTAGCAGTGAACAAGACCAAATCCTCGCACTTTGGGAATTTACTCTCTAGTGGAAAAGCGTCTCGTGCCAGCAAGGAGTTGAACTCCAGTATCCTGACTCCAGCCCTGTGCCCTCACCATTGCCTCACTTTGCTGCCCGGGACTTTGGCAGGAATTTGAGGCACCCAACGCCCAATTGGACCCATTGCGCCTCCCTCATTAAAATGAACAGTGCCAAATAGCATCACTACCATCCAGCTTTGAACTGGGTCCAAATCTCCATGGCCAGAGATCAGCCTGAAGGGATACAGTCTTGAGCGCCCCCTGTAGGAGAGAATCGCATGATCAGCAACACCATCCAGAGGTAAAATACCATTAACATCCAGCCCCGGAGCACTCTAGCATCTCAGAGCCTTTCTCTAGAGTTGACCTCCGGAGACAACCTGGCAGCTCATAGGGTGATGTTAGCTCGTTAACCTGTTTTGTTTGGCCCTTGTGTTGGTTTGTTTTGTTGTGTTTACTTCAGGAGTTCCATTTGAAAATTAATAGCCCCATTTAAAAAGGGATTTTCCCATGAAAATCCAGATTTCCAGTTCATCTTAAAAGATAAGAAGGTTTTCCAAGTCTCGGACGTTCTCACCTGTCCCCCTTCCCTACCTGGCCCCGTTGGCGTTTCAGTTTGCGATCTCTGCTTTCGGTGTTCTCGCCACTGCTGGTGCAGGTGTGGCTGTGGCTGGCTCTGTGACTTAGTTCACCCCGTTATCCACAGCAGGGAGGGACAAAAGAAGCAGCGGACTCCGTTTCCTGAGCTTTGGAGTCGTCACCCCAGAGTCCTTGTGGTGTATCGATTTCCTGCTGTTTAACTTTGATTTCATCCAGCTGTCTATTTATAGATTGTTCCTGTCCTACTGACAACCTGCATTCTTTACTTGCCCTGGCTGGGGGCTCAGTTGGAGATTTGAGGCCACTCTGTAAAGCAGCACAGATGAGTATAGCATGTCCGGTAACTAAGGTGGGGAGGCCTGGCAGAGGAGGAATTATAGCCTCTGTGTGTTGTGTCCCTGCTAAGTGTCCATTGCGCTGCTGGACCCCTTTCATGCAGGATCCAGTTGCATTCTTACAATCACTCAGTGCAAAAACAAGAATCAGTAGCCCCATTTGTCAGGAAAAAAAGGGATTTTCCCATGGTCACACAGCTGGAAAGTGCTAGAATTTGAACCCAGGTCTCTGGCCCCAAAGCCCATGGGAATGAGGTAGAGCTGAACAAGATTCCTTGGAGGTGGTTAAAACTAGGCCACGTTTTCATGTCCCCACCTTCGGTAGAGATTGAAGACCTTTTTTCCCCTCGAGGTAACCTTGTCATACATGTTTTGGGCAAATAAAGTCACACATTGAGAATGGAGCTTATTGTAAATTGATAGACATGTCTGAATTACATCTACCCTACTATTCTTGTTTCAGCCTAGTCAGTATTTATTCTCTGATTACTGTTTCCAGCCACTATACTAGGAACTGGGTACCAGACAGAGGTTAACATCATGGGCTTTGAGATTACATCTCTAGGGTTAGAGTCTGCTCCACCGTGTCCTAGCTGTGTTACATTGGACAGGTGGCTTGACTTCTCTGAGCCTTTTCCTTTACCTGTACAATGGAAATATTAATAGGCCTACACTCATGGGATTGTTGGGAAGATTAAATGAAATGCTGCATAAAAACATTTGACATAGTGTAAATGCCCTATGATGATGGTGGTGGTGATGATAATGATGGCAGTGCCATGATAAGTATTGGGCTAAAATGTTGCTGTTGGGAGAAAGAAACAGATGGTGTATGTGCCAGATCAGGGGTGGGCAAACTTTTTGACTCGAGGGCCACAATGGGTTCTTAAACTGGACTGGAGGGCCGGAACAAAAGCATGGATGGAGTGTTTGTGTGAACTAATACAAATTCAAAGTAAACATCATTACATAAAAGGGTACGGTCTTTTTTTTTTTAGTTTTATTCATTTCAAACGGGCCAGATCCGGCCCGCGGGCCGTAGTTTGCCCACGGCTGGGCCAGAGTCATGCCTCTGGGTGTGTGAGTATATCCTGTCTAACTGATGTGCATCAACACTTGACAGGTGGTACCCAAATAGCATGGGACAGGACAAAGTCTGAGGCTAAAAAGATGTTGCTTGCACCTCCTTCTAAAACCCTAAAACCCAAGGACAGAATAGCTCACACATTCCAACACCCCCCATGAGGCCTCAGCTTGGATCGTCTCAGTTGATGAATCAAGTCAGTAATTTCGTGTTAATTTAATAGTAACATGAACCAACATGTCATCGTCTGCCACTCTCTCCTTCGTTAGCTGCGGTCTCACCTACAATACGAACAAGCTCAGCCAATGCCCGTCTCCCGCCTCCTCTGTCCCACGTGTGCAGAGCTCAGCTCCGGGCCCTGTGCTGGTCCTGTGTCGGGAAGGACGCTGTGGGTGGGAAATGACAGACACTCAGCTCCAAGTGGCTTAAGGAGGAAAGAAAGTCATTGTACAATGCAACTACAGCATCAGTGTCTGACTTCAGAGATGGCTACTCCAGCGGTCCAACTGCTATCGCCAAGCCCTGGCTCTTAGTGCTTTTAGTTTTTTGGTAGTTTAATTCTTTTTTATTATTTCCGGAGAGGGTTAAAGTAAAATAAACGCATCCCATCAAATCACCAAGTAGTTCACTGGCAGGAGCCTATTTTTTAAGTTAGGCTATAGCATCATCGTAGTTCCAGGTGTACAGCATAACGATTTGATATGTGTATATATTGCAAACTGTCTTGTTAACATTCATCACTACATGTAGTTACAGATGTTTTTCTTGCCATGAGAACTTTTAAGATCTACTCTCTTAGCGACTTTCAAATACACACTGCAGCATTATTGACTGTAGTCACCACGCTGTCCATGACAGCCCAGGTCTTATTTGTTTTATAACTGGGTGTTTGTACCTTGTGACCCCCCCCACACACACACACCTTTTCCCATTAACTTAACTTTCATTAGTTCTGTTGTCCTTTGTGTTGGTTTTAATGTTGCGGCTCCAGCTGGTGACTCTTCCCAGCTTATTTAGTGTCATTTCACAGATAAGGAAACTGACTCAGAGAGATGAAGGGAGTTGCTTAAGCTCGCACGGTGAGGCCGGGGCCCAGACGCAGGGGACTGTGTCCCAGAGCTGGGCATCCCTGCATGGGGACGCCTCTCTGTGCTCCGGTCCTGCTTGCCTCCCACATGGGCTGGCTTTGAGGCAGCCACTCAGCCTCTCTTTGGAAAACAAAGGGGATGAACAAGATGGTCCCCTAAGTCCCTTCCCATTCCGATGCTTCTGGACCAGCTCTTGTAAAAGACATTGTGACAGAGCAGAGAGCTTAAAAGACAAAGAGATGGGGAAGGACGAAAAGCAAACAGTGAGACAAACAGAACAGGCCACATGGTGCTTCCGTTTTTAACTCCATGTGGTTCCTAATAGCAGTGTTGACCTTCTGTCCCCATCGCCAGCCCTTAGCAGCCAATTTGGACTTCCAGCTCCCGCTGCGAAGAGATGGCATAAAGGCAAACTAGTATTTTAATAGCTGCCAAATTGGTCCTGACTGTTCCTGTAATTAAATGAAGGGGAGTGTTGTGTTCCCTGTTCCTCCTTGCTTTCCTCCAAAAATAAAGTAACTGGATGTATTGAAAGACACATAGCACAATTACCGTTTTCCCAGATAGCTTGGGCAGGACTAGCAGAAGCAGGTGCCCCAAAGTCTACTCGCAGCCTGAGTTAGCGGGTCTTTGCAGACACCCCCAGGAGCTCCTGGCTTTGGCTTAGGGATCATCAGGGAAGTTTCCCACATCTTGGCAACCTGACCAAGTCCCAGTGTGTGGGGACAAGTCCCTTATAGGGAGAGGAGAGGAAAAAGCACTTCCCTCTGCCAGAATAGCGTTTCCTCGGGGACTTCTCCTGTCTTGGTTGATCTAAGTTCTCTGCCTAATTCAAGGTCACGAAGGCCCAGTGCTCAGTTCTGGGATACAGTGTGATGTAGTTTTAAGAGAGTGAGCACTGGGCTACAGCCAGCTCTACCAGGTGACAGCCGTGGAACTTCGACAAATGACCTTGACTCCCCATGCCTTCGTTTCCTCGTCTTTATAAAGTTTGGGCAGTGATGTCGGAATTGAGGAGGGCCGGGTTTCCTCAGTGACCATGGGAAGGCCCTGGGCTTTCAAGTAGTATGCTATCTCCCTCCAGCCTCACTCTGCAGGTGTTACCCCATTGGAGAGGTGAGTACAGCTGAGGCGTGGAGAGCTGCTTGACCGTGCTCAAGGCCCCACAGCTAGTGAAGGGCACAGCTGGGATTAGAAGCAGTTTAGCCTCACTTTTAAAGCCTGAGTTCTTTCGTCACCCTAGGATCTGAGAGACCCCTGTTTAAGTTTTTGGGGTGCACAGGTGAAAGAGCAATATTCTGATGACTTTAAGCAGAATCATTTTTTAAATGATTAGGGGAGGGAAATCAGGTCCTTCCCCTACCTTCCAGAGTCAGCCTATCCCAGAGTGTGTTCAGGATCCACCAGTGATGTGTGGCGTTATTCTGGGTAGTTCCTATATGGGCATACTGG